TTTGTTGTACCAGTAACTAGTTGCTTTAGTTGTAGGCTAAAGTGGAGTAAACTCGGATATATCTCTCTCTGCTCTCTACTTAAGCCACAACCCAATTTAAAAGCAGGGTAGTCCCCCGAAGCCGCTGAACACAGAGTCCTGGACGTATATCCGGCAGCCTAGGTACTTCATATAATGATATCAAACATGGGATTTGGATCGTAAGCGATCAGTCTGTGGTCAACCTCCTGGCCACTCTCTTGCGCCTGTGGCAATCTGCCCACCGCCACCTCAGCCTCCCAAAGTGCTGGGATTTTAAGCATGAGCCACCACGCCCAGCCACTATTTGGCTTTTTTTTTTTTTTTCATTGTGAAGACCTTTATTGCTGTGTATGAATTTTTAAAAGCTAACTACTTATTTTGGAATAATTTAGATTTATAAAAAGTTGAAAAGATAGTTCAGAGTTCCTGTACGTCCTTCAACCATTTCCCCTAATGTTACCATCTTACATAATCAAGGTACATTTGTTAAAGCAATTAACATTGAGAACATTACAATTAACTGAACTTACAGACTTTATTTGAATGTGGCTGGTTTTTTCATGTATGTCCTGTTATTTAGCTTTATAAAAGACAAAACATTATAATTTTATAAAACATATCTCTGGGGGTTTCCCCACACAAAAAAAGGCCAGCCTGTTGCACCTGCCTTAGAAGGCTGTAGTTAGAAGACTGTTTGAGCCTGGGAGATTGAGGCTAAAGTGAGCCATGAAAGTACCACTGCACTCCAGCCTGGGTGACACATTTCAGCATCTAACTGGGTTTTTTGTTGTTGTTGTTGTTGTTGTTTTTTGAGACAGAGTCTTGCTTTGTCGCCCAGGCTGGAGTGGTGTGGCCGCGATCTCAGCTCCTGCAAGCTCCGCCTCCCGGGTTTACGCCATTCTCCTGCTCCAGCCTCCGAGCAGCTGGGACTACAGGCGGCCCGCCACCGACGGCCCAGCTAATTTTTTTGTATATTTTAGTAGAGACGGGGTTTTCACCGTGTTAGCCAGGATGGTCTCGAATCTCCTGACCCGTCGTGATTCCGCCCCCCCTCAGCCTTCCCAGAAGGCGGGATGACAGGCGTGAGCCACGCGCGCCCGGCCTGAACGTGTTTATCGCAGCCTGCAGTGTACATCTGCGGAGTACCTTTTGGTCGAGGGACTTTGTTTCAAATTAGCTCTGATACTGTTATAAAAATTATAATGTTTATGTTTTTTAATGAAGCGTAGAATAACAGGACATCACATGGAAAAAAACCAAGGCCACATTCA